GGAGGGGGGGGGGGTGGCTGGAAGCAGCTCACCATCCCAGGAGTGGGGCACGTGCTCAAATTTCTTCATTGCCCTCAGGCTACCAGAGAGAGAGAGAGAGAGAAAACTCTCTGCTTCAGCACAAACTGGTACAATTTATCATCATCTTGGCATATCTGGGGAGCAACATGTTGGGGAGACCCGACCCAACAGGCGGAACAGGACACCCGGCCCCGGGGCTGCGGGGGTTTCACCAACAAGTCTCGGGATGTATCCCACTGCTCCGGGCGGGATCTGCTCTGGACTGTGGAAGATTCCTGGGCTCTGCCAGCTGCACAGGCACTGCGGGGCCAGCACCCCCCCAACATCCCAGCAGAGGGAACCTGCCCGCTGAAAGCCGAAGGTGCCCAGGGGCGGCGTGGGAGGACGATATGTCCACGCTGCCATCCGGGGGGGTGATGCCACACAAAGAGGCACCCGGCTGTGCCAGCACCAAGGCCACGGCTGCGTGGGGCTGGGCACAAGCCAGCTGCCACGTCTCCCCCAAAGCTGGTGGGAAGGTCTGGATGTGTCACAGCCACCCGCCTCTGCTGCTGGGATCTGTTAGGGAGCCCCAGGTGAGGCTTTCGGGGTGCAGAAGTGACTGTCTGTGACATTTGAAAACCCCTTCCCAGAACTGGAGTCCAGTCCCTCATTTTGATACCAGCTTTTGCGCCTCTTGGGTGGTTCTGAGGGTGTACAACGACTACGGGGAAAGTCCCCCGACAGCCGCAGCTGCACCGGCACCGAGGGGACAGGGACGCCCCAGCACAGGCTGATGCTGCTTCTTACATCATTCCTGAGCCCTGGCCAGGAGAGAGAACAGCAAATCACCCAGCTCTGCTTCTGGATGAACCTAAATCAGCCCTTACCTGGCGCTGCTTCAGGAAATCCAGGGCAATCTGCACGTTCTGCAGCCGGTGGAAACGCATCCGCCCCTTCTCACGCGGCTGCAAGAGAGAAGCAGCAGTTTCAGGTCAGGTTCACACGGGGCTGGGCCAGCAGCCCCCCCGCATGCACAGCCAAACCCCACATGCCCCCAGGAGCTGTCTGCGGCAGCCCCCCCGCGCTCAGCGTGCTGCTGTGACCCCCCCCTCCCCGTGCACTCCACAAATCCTGATCTATCTTCTTGCTCCGGAGGCAAATAATGTCATTGCTACAGATAATCCTGCTGAAAGAGGGCAAAAAGGCCACGGTGGGGCACGGGGGTGGGATCTCGATCTCCTCGGAGACCCTGAGGGTCTGTGTCCAGGCCGTGCTCTGCAGGCAGGACTGGCTCAGCCTCTGAGATGCCTGGGCAGGATCTCACCCACCCCACTGTCAGGCAGACAAGCTGGGAAGAGGGCTCAGCAAAGGGAGATTTACTTGAGCAGAGAGTACAGAGTCCAAGCCCTCTGGGTGGAAGCAGAGGGATGTCTGCTCTGCAGCAGGACGTGGGGACCAGGCAGGGACCAGCCGCGGGTCCCCACTGATGGCAGAGAAACCCCAACCTCAGCATCAGCCCCTGCAGACCCAGCTCAGCTCCTCCCACATGCGGGCAGGGGCTGCTGCTCCAGGTACCATCTCTGAATCCCTGGGGAGGGGAGAAATGAGGCGCCCTGGGCTGTGCTCATCGCCAGGGGATTTTCTGAGGTGCCCTGCAGCTGAGCTGTGGCCAGGGGAAGGGTATGGGATGCTGAGTCTGCTTTGAATCAGCAGGAGGGGGAGGACCGATGCCCAAATCCTGTTCCCCGCCTCAACACGAGGCATCACCAGGATGCTCTGAACCCTTAGGACACCTCAAGTCCTCCAAGTCCCCTCCCTTCCCCAGCTTGAAGGAGAAGAGCTGCACAGGGAACATCTCCAGGGCTGCAGGGGATCGGAGGCCGGTGGGAAGGTGCTACAGCCCCAACAACTCCTGTGCTGCTCCAGGTGGGAGGTGACACCAGGCACAAGGGAATGTCACCCAGACAGAGCAAGAGGGCTGGAAAACACACCCTCTCTTACACCTCAACAAGGTTTTGGGGTCCAGCCACTTCGGGGTAACCCTCAGCTAGGGCTGGGCTGGGCTGACTCCCACCTCCACTCACATGCACGGGGTTGTCGGTCATGCCCGGGACCCCACAGTGGCACCAGCCACCCCCTGCCCACCCCGAGAAGGTGCCTGTGCCCAGAGCCTGTCCATGCAGTGCGAGGTGAGCAGCTGCCACAGCGGCCCCCCCTGAGGGCCGAGCAGGCTTGAGGAGGGGGGGACCAGCCAGGAGCAGTGTGCAGGACCCGTCCCTGTCCCCTCCCGCCCCGTGGGGGGGACACATGCTGTCACACCAGGTGGGTGGCGTGCCCTGCCTGCGGGCCGACACTGCAGCGCACACCCAGATAATCCAGTTAACGGGAACACAGCCCGGTAAGGAGGACCACGGCGTCGGGTCCCTCTGCTCTCACAGCTTCCCCTCCACAGGGCGACCACCCCGGGCGAGTTTTGTCCAAAACCTCGGCTAAAACCGAAGCGAGGGGAAGGTCGGAGCCCCAGCGACACTGGGCTGCACTGGACTATCTGACGGCACTCCAGTGTCTGCCAGGGATACACTGCGGCCGGGGCAGACTCAACCTACTTCTTCATCATCATCATCTTCCTCCTCACGCTCTTCGCTGCTTGCACGGCACCAGGCCGGCGCTCTCACCAGGCGAAGGCTCCTCTGAGCTGGCGGCTCTATTTGCTAACAAGGACGGGAGGGACAGCGGCGATGGGAGGGTGACACAACAGGGAGACAGAATGGAAACCAAAATGCAACACCCAGGTAAAAGGAAAAAAAAAAAAAAAAAAAAGAGCGGGGACGAAAGCAGCTGGATCTGAGCACACTCTGGGCTCAAGCACAGAAATTTTCCCCCGGCTTTGAAAGCCGAAGCGAAGCGAAGGAAGCTGTCTGGATCACAAGTAGCTTGATCCAATTTTTCAGCCCCCACAAAAACTGATTTGGCATCTCTGAAGGGTAACGGAGGGAGTTAGGAGATCTTTGCCCAGATCCTATTTTAAGGAAAAACTAAAATAATTCCTGCTGTGCTACCCTGTTGCAGCAATTGGGATCTTCCCAGAGCTGAGTGAATGTGTCAGTCTGAGAAGGAGGAGGAGGAGGAGAAGGAGGGGGGAACTCTACGATGCTCAAGATGCAAGAAGAGGTTTGCACACCACCGACTGCTACAAATCCAGCTCGTGCGGGAGCCGAGCACAGGGCAGGAGTGTTAAATCTGAGCTAAACTGCTGGGCACACTGTCACAGAAACAGTTTTAGTCAAAGCCACTATTATCCGTTATTTTAAATATGGAGCAAAATCGGGAAGATGAAGGCATGCAAGCCTTGACAAAAAGAGAGCTCTGCCCAGGGAACCATAAGCCAGTGGCTTTAATCACATGTTTTGGTGGTATCCAAGAGACCAGCCTGGGGAATGAGGGTTTGAGTGAAAATAAATAAAATAATAAAAATAGTAAGAAGAAATAATAATAGTAATAATAATAAAAGAAACAATGACAGACATTTGAAAACAAAACTATGGCATAAGAAACGACAGCTGACGGCTGGGAGCGGAGGGGAGGATGGAGGGGGCTTGGAGTCACTGCCCAGCCCTGGGGACTTACCAGCTTCACTCCTGACAGCACCTCCAGGAGGGAGATGAGGTTGTGGCCATCTCGCAAGTCCTCGTAGAGGTCATTGATGTGCTTGCGCACCTGCAGGGGCCAGGCAGGAAAAGCCATCAGACTCCCTCGCCCTCCGGCATGTTGGCAAGAGCGCAGGAGGACGGGAGCATCCTCGAGCCACATCCATTTAAAATGGTTATTCCAGAGCTATCGCTAAGGAAAGCAGCCTCCCGGCTCCCAAACGACCTGGGAGAAGCTGCTGCCAATTTTACACACGAAATCAAACTGTTAAAACCATCCATAGTGCAGGCAACCCCATCACCCTGCACACAGGCCTCTGCAGAAAGGGCAGCTCAGTCCCGGGGCGGTGGTTTAATTGCTCGTACTACCCCAGAGCATCCCCAAAACACGGCACCTCACAGAATCATCTAGGCTGGGAAAGACCTTGAAGATCACCCGGTCCAACCATTAAGCCAACATTGACAGTTCTCAACTACTACACCTCGCCTCCCTCTGGGCACAGAGGAGGCTTCTGCGGGGCAGCGTGGCTGTGAGAGCAGCCTGACCTCACGCAGCCTCTGTCCCTGCTCTTCCCCCAGACACCCAGACCTCGTCCTGGTGTTTTACTCAGCTGGAAACTTCCAGATGTTTTCCCACAGCAGCCTCAAAATTTATCCTTTTTCCCTCCTTTGTAAGATGTAGAAAACAGCTTGACACAGAGTCAAAGCTGGCAGGAAAATACAGCTGTGACACCGAATGATGAAATAACTTTTTTTTTCTTCTTTGTTTTTTTGGCAAATGTAAAATTAATTAAAACCCACCCGGCATTAACCAAGCAGGAGGCACCTTGTGGTGCTATGTTAATCCTGCTTAGCTACGGCTGCAAGCAGCTCCTTTCACACACTTTGAGGCTCCTCTCCATGCAGAAACATCCCTCAAAAGATAAAAAAAACCCCTTTGCTCTGGCAAGAGGGATGCGAGGGGGGTGCAGCCCCACGCTGGGATCCCCTCGCTCACCCGGCTGCCCACAACCCAGGCGGGAGGATGGACAAAGCTGGTGTTAAAGCCAGAACAGGGTGCTCAGGAGGCAAATGTAATAAAAGGGCTGTGTGGTGATGTTACAGTGCCCTCCATAGGCACCGGCACATTTCCACCACAACAGGCTCCACTCGGAGTACAGATACGTACGAAGACTCAAAACCAATGCAAAAATTCCCAGACAAAAAAAAAATAATAATTTTAAAAGGCATTTATCTGCCAGTCCTGAGCCAGAACAGACAGACAGACAGTCATTTAACCAGCTTTATAATAAAATACATGACTCTTACCTTCATCAAGTGTTTATTGACCCATTTAGTGAAAGTTTTCTTTTGGACTCTGTCCCGTTCATCTGTCAAGAGAGGACAAAGGCAGCTCTTGGTCAGTGTTTCTCATGCAGAAACTCAAATGACTTTAAAATGAGGGGAAGAGACGGAGGAATCGCCGCCAGTGCCAGGACCACGGGATGGATCCTGCGCCCGGTCAGAGGAACAGAGGCTGCTTATTCCCGGGCTAGCGCGGGACGGGGCCATTCACGCGGCTCCAGCGTCTCACTCAAGCAGGGAGGTAGGAGCATCCACAGAGCTAGAACCAAATACACTGCTTTTTGGGGGGGAGAATAGCATTATTCGAACAAAAGCAGCGTGGATGATTAGGATGGGTATAGCTGCAGCTGGCAGTGGCAAATGAACCCCCAAAATGTGTCCCCCTGGATGGGAGCCCTGTGCCTCCTCATCCCCGCTGGAGGCAATGCAGGGAGGGAGAGGGGGTCTGTCTGAGCCCCCCCACTTTAGGAGGGTGTCCCCCTCCCCTGTCCGCTCCCAAAAGGCTTTAACACATTATATAAATCCCACAGATGTCCCGTAACAGGCCTCTGCTGGGCACTAGCAGCGTGTGCAATTAGCTTATTCCGTCGCTGTATTTTTGGTTCATTGGATTGTCAGGATTTAATGTTTATTTCTGTCCCAGGGCTCAGCTGAGACTGCCCCAGCCAGACGCTGGGAGCTCTGAATGCCAGTGGCACAGGGTGACAACGTCCCCAGGGAGCAGCAGGGGTGACCACCAGCCCCATGGGGTGACAGGATGGGAGATTCGTGGTGATGCCAAAGAGTAATGAGGGATGGGGGAGCCAGCGGCAGGCTTTGCCCTGTTCTTGGTGCAAAATATAATACCACGCGAAAATCAAAGGCAAACAAGGCGAAATGAGAGGACGTGAGATGGGAGCACACTGCTGGAGGGTCCCACAGGGCACAGGGGGGTCCTGTTCAGCCCCCACCTCCCTAAGCCCAGGCAAGCCCAGCAGCCAGCCCTGCGCCAAATGGGATCGCCTGGTTTTAACAACATCATCCGGGAGGAAAGCGAGTGCCTCAGCACCGACCCACGGCACGCGACCCCAGGCTCCCCATTCCTGGGAGAGAGTGCGAACGGATGAGCCCTGCTACCACAAGACATTCCTCTGACAGCACGGTCCACCATGCAGAAGCACACCTTGCTGTAGTTTTAAGCCAAAAATCAAGAAAAGGGAGAAAGGCTCTTGGCCCGGGCTGCGTGTCCTGCCTGGATGGCCCCACACCCCCCTTCCTGGGGTCACTGCGGGGGTCCCTGCACTGGCCACCCAGCCACGGCCCCAGGGACCCTCAGAAAACCTCCCCATGTCTCAATCCATGCAGATTTGAAAGCACCATCTAACACCTAACACCCACCCTCCTCATCCACCCCACGGCTTCCCCCATCGGAAAGCACGGCAGTAAACCACGCGGCCGGCACGTCACCTCCCCTGTGTCCCGCTCTGTCCCCCAGCCAGGGCAGGCAACCAGGTGCCAAAAACTACCCACCAGTTCAACCACGGGCACCCTCCCTCCCCTCCCCGCCAGGCATCGGCATGGCGGGGCCACACGGCCAAGCCACGGAAGCTGCGTCACCCCTACGTGGGTTTAGGGATCTTTTCTGTACCCAACCCCCCCTGGAGCCGCGGTGCCGGGTCCCTTCCCAAGCCCGGCATTAATTTGGGGTGGATAAAGCTTGAGCCGCTGCTCGGGCAGCATGGTGGGGGCTGCCTGCACGCTGGGAAGGGGAGGGCAGTGGGTACAAACCCAGACAGCACATCTGGCACGCCAGGCAGGCGCTGAGCCGCCACTTGTCCCCGGAGAGCTGCTGCCTCTCCATCGCCCGAGCCTGGGATGGGGAGCGCTGGGTCGCGGGCAAAGCGGTGGCTGCCTCCCGGTTCTTGGGGAAGGGTCTTCTGTCGGTACCACCCGCTCCCTGACCTTGGCCCCAAAGCGGGTGGGTGACTCCCCAGTGGCGGCTCCTCCCACAGCACCACTTCCTACACCCGCTGCTCCCAACGGCCGCTCATCGTCAGGGGCATCGTCACAAACCCCACCGCGATGGCAACGGCTGCTGCGCGTTTCCACGGCTCCTCGCGCTTCTCTGGGTGCTCCCAGCCACAGGTGCCAGCAAAATCCTCCCCGGCCCGTGGTCCCAATGGCCGGCAAAGCTGCTTGGAAAGCTCCCGGCGAGGAAAGGCAGAGCTGCTCCCTCCTGCAAGCGAGCAAGAAGCGGTGCAGAGCGCAGCCGTCGGGCTGGGGGCGCGGACGCAAACTTGCCCCGTGGAGCTGGGCGCTGCCCCGCCAACAGGCTCTTGGCTTGTTTTCCCGCGGCTTGTTTTCCAGTTAATTGCACCAGGGACGGGAGGGACAATGCCAGGCTGTTCTCCCCGCTCCCGCCTGCCCGCTTGCAGCTTCTTCCCAAATCATTTCCCAGGTCCGAAGCGCCGGAGCCAGGACCCGGGCACAGCCCCACTCGGCACGCGGGGAGATAACGGTGGCCTCCTTATCACCACCTCTCTTCCTTTTCTTCTAAATATAATCCCCCTGCAGACCTTCTGCCGGCAGGAGCCCTGCCGCCCCGGCCGCGGGGGCGAGAGGAGCTGGGCTGCTGCCGGGGGAAGGCGGGAGCGTGTCACCAAGCATCGCAGGGAGCACGCGGGGACGGAGGCACGTCACCGAGTCCCACACGGAAAATCTGCAGCAAGGCACCTCCAGCGCCGGATCCAGGGGGTGCCAGCAGGCCAGCAGCTTCTCAGCGTGTTCCCTCTTTCCATCTCCTGCAGAAATAGGGAGGTTCCTCTTTTTTTTTTTTTCACTGTCCCACCACCCTTGGGTGGTTCCTGAGCTCTAACCAGATTACACCTCCCTACCCTGTACACATGCTATCATCCGAGCTAATAATAACGCCCAGTTACTACTTACTAACACCATTAAGGGACTGCAAGCTTATCTCTCCCTGGGTAATCTTTTCCAGAGCCATCTCCATAAGCAACTTGTTGCAACCCCCCTGTGCTTGTTCTCTCTCCTGTTTAGCAGCAGTTTTCTGGCCCCAGCCACCAAGAACCACCCTGTCACCAGGCAGGGACAGGGTGCAGAGGCAATGGCCCGGCAGCGGGCAGGCAGGGCACGGCCAGAGGGAAGGCGACAGGGGCTAGAGGAAGTCTGCACCACTCCAAAGCCAGCGGCAGGAGAGGCCGACTGTGGAGCCTCGGGTCCCCTCACACACAGGGCACAGAGCAAAGGCTGGTGGCGGTGACACAGGGAACATCGGTGGCAAACGGCGAGCCTGCTGCCAGCAGCACCAGTGAAAACCACACTCTGTAATGGGACATGCCCACGTGCCACACAACCCTTCAACGGTTTCCAGCGCCGCCGATGTTATCGGAGCCACACGGATGATCCCAGCAGCGAAGCGCTTTCATGTTGCTGCTTTCCCAGGACAGGTCAGACGTGGAGAGATGAAAACCCAGACGAGCCAGGCAACAACCCAGCCTAAACCCAGGTGAGCCACAGCCATGCCAGCCCCGTCTCCATCCCTGTCCAGGCAGAGCCCAGCCCCAAGGCGCAGGGACCACCGCAGGGCTCTGAAACCTGCCCCGGCTGCTCCCTGACCTGCCTATTTTTGTTTGGTTTGGTTTAGGCTTTTGATTGTGCAATGGTTCTGTAGCCATCCACATACCAGTGCAAGCCAGGAGTAGGGTTCAGCTGCCTGCACCTCAACCTCTGCAATCCATGCGTGCTGTTTAATTCCCTCCCCACCTCCTCTCCCCCCGTCACACAGTCCACTCCATCCCCAGAAATGGGGATCCCAAAGGCGCCAGGGCACCATCTGCCCCCCACCACGGCAGCGTGAATCTCCCGCAGAGGGGCCAGGAGCAGCAAGGACCAAGGAGCAGAGGCAGCCGCAGGTGGGGAAGGGGAGTTTTGAGGTTTCCCCACTGCTGTCAGTCCCCCAAAGCAAACCCAGCTAGTGAGGGGGAGCGGGGAACACCATCCTGCCCCACAGCTGGTTTACAGCACCCCAAAACTGGGGGCATCAGCTGAGCATGGGAAGAAAATCTCCCACTCACTGTCCCGTCAGCCTCCAGGGCCCCCTGGCACTTGCCATCAGCACAGGGGGAGCTCCCACAGACCCCGGGTGCCAGAGACCCTCCCACCACCACCACAACACCCTGCACAGACGCTTCCCCCTCCCCATTTGCCTGCGGCAGGCGCGGTGCTGGCAGCCTGCCTGTCCCCAGCAGCTCCCAGCACGCCCAGCTGGGAGTTGGGAGCTGCTGCTCCCCCCAGGATCCCTCCTCCATCCTCGCTGGCCTCACTCGCTGCCAGACTCCATCACCGTTCACCTCCTGCTGCTGCTGCAAGAGCGCAGCCCCAGCCCCGGTCCCCAACCCTGGCCAGGCACCCTCCGTCCCTCTGGCACCCGGGGGGGTTTCACTGGCCCCCACCAGCTCCTTCAGCCTGCTGGAATAAAGCCTGGAAGCAGCTCCCAATCCTTCTGCTCCTGCTCATGAATTCCTGCTAAAACCGAAGTAATACAGATGTCAGACAGGGCACGGCACTGGACGAGCTCACAGAGATCTTGGGGACATCTCCAAGGCCACACTCAGCGTGAGGGTGGCTCTGTGCGAGAATCAGCCCTGGGGTGAAGGAGCGTTTTGTTACATATAAATGCCTAGAAACAAATTTTTAAAGTGTCAAAACCCACCGCTTTCACTTTGAACTCCTTCAAGGTAAGCAGAGAATGGGAACGTGCTTTTTTTTTTTTTTTTTTTTTAACGTGGTACTTTTAAGATGGGGATATGAACAAACCCTGGCTGGCTCAGGAGCACGAGGTATTTAAAATGTGCCGGCTGCCAACTCGGAGGCTGACATAATCCATCATGACAACAGAGCCAACCGGGCAGGATTTACAGAGCCTTTCAAAACAGGGAAAGGAAACAGTGCCTGATTCAGCCTGGAAGAACGCACAAGAGATACCTGTGGTGAAAAACTATCCAGCACCCAGATATTTAATGAGGGAGTCACCTGAGAAGCGGTGATGCAAAGGAAACCCTGGTGGCTGCTCAGCAGAGCTGGGCGAGCATCACAGGGCAGCAAAAACCAAAACCTGCTGCAAGATGACCCTCGTCTTCCAGGATGCTGCGCCCCTGGGGTGGGTATTAGCTGACCTTTACTGGGAAGGGGTGATGAAAGGAAACAGATATTGAAAATCCTCACTGCTCGCAACACTGGCGCCAGGATTTTTTTCCAAAAGGGATGGATTTCTGTAGGATGAAGCAGCGGGTCGGTGTGGTACAGGGGGCGAGGGGTTGGGAGGAGATGGTCGTGCTGGGAAGCGGCCAGGAGGTCCCTCGTTGGAGCTGAGCACGTCGCTGAACAACACTGTCCGGACACTGAGATTAATTAAGAGCCCAGGAGACGGCGGGTCAACAGGAGGAATTGCAGCAAGGCTGGGTTTAATGGGTAAAAGGGTGCATTTCTGCATGGTGGCATGTTTGTGCAACTCGGTATCTTTCTCGCGGTAGTTTTGAGGGAGAAAAGAAAAATATCCCAAAGCAGTATTTGGGGCAAAGTCCCTGCACACTGCCCCAGCTCTGCGGTCCTGCTCCTCTGCATAGAAAAAGTCAAAGAAAAGGAGGAATTGGTCACAGACACAGGGAAAAGGCTCCATGCAGAGGCACAGGAGAGAACAAGCCCTGCTGGAAAAAAGAGGGAGGAATCAAAACAAACAAATCCCAGGAGGAAGAGGTCAGGACGGAGAAGGAGCTGAGTCCTTGTCCATGGCCCAGAGCTATCGCACATCCCCACAAAGAATCCTCTCCCTCCTCGGGCGGCAGTCATGTGCAAGCCCTATTTTGGGAAACTGAGGCAGGGTCAGCCCCAGCTGCTCAGCGAGCCTGTGCCAGCACCGAGAGGAGCTCCCGGGGCCACGTCTTGCCACTGCCGATGGCTAACGGAGACGCTGCTGTCACGGCGAGGGGCGGGAGGGACGCTCGTCTGCGCCGGGGCAGGAGCCGGGAGGCAGAACACCAGCCACGTGTCGTGGGCTTGTGCTGAGACAAAAAGCAGCCTCGTCCCCAGTGAGACATCCCCTATCCCAGCCGCTCCCATCCCCGCGCGGGCCGGGAATGGGTGGCAAGACCAAATTTAGGCACCGAAACCTCCACACACACCCCCAGTGGGGACCAAGGCCACTGGGAGGATCCCCACCACCGTGTCCTCCTCCCTCCTCCCCGCTGGCCACGTCTGTCCTACCCGTGCTGCTACTGCAGCTCTCGGGGAAGGAAAACAAGCCGTGACCCTCACCGGCGGCATGCCGGCCATCTTAGTGCCTCCCCCCCGCGGGGGCTGCCCCTACCTTCTCTGCTCCGGCTCCTCCAGTACAGGACGCCGGCGATGCCCAGGACGTGGCTGAGGACAAAGGCGGCGGGCGGCAGATAGGAGCTCTCCGAGAGAGGCATCGTCTCCTACTCCCACCCGGTTATCTTGAGCCCAGCTCTGAATTTCTTTCTCCCAAGGCTGCTGCTGCCAGAGCCCAGCATCGCTGGGAGGGCGAGGGGATGGAGGGGGGGGGACA